ACAAGTTCAACAGCCACAAGGGGCAGTACCCTCCATGGAGAAGGAGGCTAGACGCTAAGATCAAGGTAGCACGGAGGGAGGTTAGCCAATTGGAGTTGCAGTAAGATGCGATGAAGAAGGTGCCTAAGAAGTACAGGAAGCTGTCCATACCTGAGGCCTTGGAAACTGTCAAGCAACGACTCACAGCCTTGGCCAGCCGCTTGAAGAGGTACACCAGAGAGATCGAAGGAAGGAGAATAAACCAGCTGTTCTCCACAGAACCAGCCAAGGTGTACTCTCAGTGGCAGGGGAACAATATGAGAACAGCACCACCAAGGCTGGAGACGGAACAGTACTGGAAGAGCATATGGGAGAAGGATGCAACCCATGCTCAGTGGCTAGTGGATCTAAGTGCAGACCACAGCAACCTCCCTGAAAAGGAGTCCAGTAACCATCACAGTGGCAGACATCCAAGAAAGGGTCTCCAATATGAAGAGTTGGACAGCACCGGGCCCCGACATGGTTCACACCTACTGGCTAAAGAAGCTGACTGCACGCCACAAGCATCTGGCAGCACAAATAAACCACCTGCTAGTTGATGAGAGACACCCAGAATGGCTAACCGAAGGCCGGACAGTCCTAATCCTCAAGGACCCCCAGAAGGGACTGGTCCTCTCTAACTACCGACCAATAACCTGCCTCAGCACCACATGGAAGCTCCTGTCAGGCATCATAGCAGCTAGGATGAACAGGCACATGGGTCAATACATGAGTGGGGCACAGGAAGGGAAGAATGCCAGAGGTGCAAAACACCAGCTACTGGTAGACCGAACAATCAGCCGAGACTGCAAGACCAGACTGACCAACCTGTGCACTGTCTGGATTGATTACAAGAAGGCCTATGACTCAATGCCCCACAGCTGGATACTGGAATGCCTAGAACTATACAAGATCAACAGGACCCTAAGAGCATTCATTAGGGACTCAATGGAGATGTGGCGTACAACACTAGAGGCCAACTTCAAGCCCATAGCACAAGTCACCATCAAGTGCAGGATCTACCAAGGAGATGCTCTGTCCCCGCCTGCTGTTCTGCATAGGCCTTAACCCCCTCAGTGAGATCATTGACAAGACTGGCTACGGATACCTACTACAGAATGGAACAGTTGTCAGCCACCTCCTGTACATCGATGGCATCAAGCTGTATGCTAAGAGTGAAAAAGACATCGATTCACTGATCATTACCACCAGGATATACAGAAATGATATCGGAATGTCATTCGGACTGAAGAAGTGTAGTCGGATGGTAACAAAGAGAGAGAAGTGAACTACCAGAAAGCAACATGGCAGGCATAGAGCACAGTTACAAGTACCTGGGGATCCTGCAGGCAAATGGGAATCATGAAGAGGTTGCTAGAAAAGCTGCAACCACCAAGTACCTGCAGAGGGTCAGGCAAGTCCTGAGGAGTGAGCTGAATGGTAAGAACAAGATCCGGGCTATCAACACCTACGCCCTGCCCGTGCTTATTATCCCAGCCGGGCTGGGATAAGCTGGCCAAAGGAGGAGAGAGAAGCCATTGACATCAAGACAAGAAAGCTCCTGACCATGCATGGAGGGTTTCACCCCAAGTCCACCACCCTTAGGCTGTACGCTAAGCGGAAGGAAGGAGGCCGGGGACTGGTGAGTGTCAGCACCACAGTCCAGGATGAGACAACAAACATTCACAAATACATCACGAAGATGGCCCCAACTGACAGCGCGCTCAATGAATACCTCTACCGCAGCAGAAACCCAAGAAAGAGGAGGAGGGCGACAAACCATCATGGAAGGACAGGCCCATGTACCACCAGCAGAGGTGGGACTTCCAGATACAGATGGACAAAATGGTGATGGCTAACCAACAGGGTGGTAAACAAACAGAAGAAGACAGCCGTAGTGATAGATGTAGCAGTTCCCAATGACAGCAACATCAGAAAGAAGGAACACGAGAAGCTCGAGAAATATCAATGGCTCAGAGAAGAGCTCTAGAAAATGTGGAGGGTGAAAGTAACAGTGGTCTCAGTGGTAATCGGAGCACTAGGTGCGGTGACTCCCAAACTAGGCGAGTGGCTCCAGCAGATCCCAGGAACAACATCAGAGATCTCTGTCCAGAAGAGCGCAGTCCTAGGAACAACTAAGATACTGCGCAGGACCCTCAAGCTCCCAGGCCTCTGGTAGAGGACCCGAGCTTGAAGGATAGACCGCCCGCAGGGGCAAGCGGGAGGATTTTGATAGATATAAGTATTCCATTTACCATTGAGACATTTATTATTTCATCTTTTTTGATAATCAAAAGGAGTTTTTATTTTTATTTTATGTACTAAAAGTCCTTTGCAGTCAATTACTGACTTAAGTGAACAACCTATGGAGATCACTAAATGATGTTTCCTCCTTTCAGATGCCCTAGCACAACTTTGCTGTAGCCACCAGTTGTTTCTTGTTTGTGGGTCTCTTTATGTTCATTTTTGTGTTAGTAACTGAAAGACATTCTCTGTTGGATTTACATTAGGTGACTTGCTTGGTGATTCAAGAACCATTTCTTTTTCTTTGCATCAAGAAACTCTTGGATTTCATACATTAAATATGAGCAAAGAGTAGAAACCCGTACACTTCAGAAAATATTCTTCCCCTTCTCTGAGCAGTCAGTAAGTGTTCACTAGTTTTTATTGATGATCTATTTTATATGTTAAAAGATTTTTTTTCCAGATCTGGGCAGGTTCTTTTAGATTTAGATA